GAAGACTTTCTAGATAAACACGGCACATTGAATCAAAGGTCCATGTAATGAACCATTTCTTATGAATGTCATCATACATGCCCAATGAATTCATTGCTCTATCATAATTTTCCAGATATTCAGATATGTTTCCTGAACCTCTAGAAAATTGTGGGACAGTCTCTCTAAGGAATTTGATGACCTTTGGTGTTTCATAAACAGGCGTCGTTGATTTACGATCTCTGTTTCTGTGTTTGGGTAGACGTCTATGCGATCTGTCTGCTGAAGAGGAGTTAGACCCATACAACAGTGCAGATGGCATATCAGTTACATGGCCTTCAGAGTGGATAGTGCAATCACTTTCACTCCCATCACTCTGAGCTTCTTGTTCACTGTCACAATTCTGATCAGCATCAGAATCCTGCCAGTGTACAGAACCATGTCTGTTTTCATTCCTATCACCTTGAATCTGATTCTTTCTGTCAAGCTTGGCCAGGACAGTCTTTTCAAACTGTTCTGCCCAAGATTGCCAAGAACCTACAGGTGTTTTCTCAGAATTACTCACCTCTTTTCTTAGAGACTGTTTTATGAAAACCTGGTCTGGTGTGTGAATATCAGGGAATTGGGAAGAATCACTTGGGTCTTTTCCCAGTAATTCTTCACTTCCCTTTTGATATTCATCTAGCTGCATCTGTATCTGTTTTATCTGTTGATCATAATCATCCACCATTTTGCTCATTCTTTCCAGTTTATTAAAAAGGTCAGAGTTTAGAGCCCGAAGGAGATTATTTTCATCAGACAAAGTTTTTAACCTTCCTTGTTCGAGCACCAGGTCTTTCTGACACTCGTCCAATTTACGTTCTATCTCATTATGCTTTTTTAACATAATAGAATAACCCAATATGAAAAACGGGCATGATTTGGTAACAGATCGCATTGTAGACTCTTCATCTATTTGGCTAAGATATTTAACCATAGGTGAATCAGCCGATCTATCGTGAATTGAATCATCAACCTGTTTTTTTATTTGTAGTATCCATTCTGGATAATCAACTTTAATATTTAGATACTGATATATGATGCTTAAGGGAAAACCTTGCATTTCCGCTAACTTCTTCCCATTCTCTGATTGAGATGAAGCGCTAGATTCAGCCATATTTCTATACAGTGATTTAATCTCAATACAAAACTCTTTTCTATATCAAGATTAAATTACATGAATTACACCAATATTATTATTATATGAAATATAATTTGAACTTAAACGATCTCAGCAGTGCCTCCAATATGTGGGGATATTTATGGGATAATAATAGTAACAGTGAGAATTGCCCACTAATTCAATTCTCAGATCCCAAAGAACGTTTATCGTGTTAAGTGAAAAGTATTTCATATAAATAATCACAATGTATAAAAATAGATTTTATTTATATGACAAATTAATAATAATAATATTATATGTAACATGCATAACAATAATCAATGAATATTCAGTATAAAACGATATGCAATACAAAGAAATGGGTATTACGTTACAATGGCTAAATAGCATTTCCTGTCAAGAATTCTGACGATTTATGAGGTATCCTTACACAGACTTAAGTGAAACTTTTCACAGCGAAGAACAGAATTCCTCAGAGTGCAGCGTAAGGTCGTAAAGTTTAACAGACAGTTAGAATAACCCTTTCAATGCTGGCTAGATCTCCTAGGTAGTTAAGATCTATTCTTATGTATTTTTAAATAAAATAACATTTAAACCAGTTTAAATTCATTTTCTTAAACCATCCATAAGAGAATTTACCACATTATATAAGCAGATTTTTAATTTGTCTAAAAGATATCTATCTTAATTTAGAGCAAATCAATACACCTGGATAAAAACAGCGGTATGCTAACACGTGATAATATCGCATCAATATATAATTATTCTTAATTCCACCTGCAGAATGGAATGTTTATAACTATATATTCTTAGTTAACTAAGATTTCTTAATATGGAAATCTGACCGTGCTTTATCCAGTCATATATAATGCTATTAATACATTTTAATTAATTAAATTAAATTAAATGAAACCAGTATAATTACCAGTTGAGTAGATATTTCATCCGATTGGTAGTCTCTCTGCATGGAGGTGTTGGTTAGAAAGTCAGTAAATTCTAAGTGTTAGAGTTTTAGGAGTAGAATGTTAGTCTCAGATGTTGTCCGAGTTGGAATCCCCAAACTTCCAATTCCTCTCTTTTCTCTTTTGCATATCTTGCATCTGCCTCCTCTCCTGTATTTCTTGTATCTTCCCTTTGTCTCTCTATCTTCCCTTTGTCTTAACTTTTAAAGGGCCAGACTCTCTGTACGTCATCAGTTGATAACCCAATAGAAGCACTAGAGGTGTGGTTATCTTCCAGATCGCAAATTAGTTATTTGGTCTGTAGAGGGCAGTCTTGTCCCACTAAACATACCTATCAAGGAAAGAGTTAACTTTTCCTGGTGGCTATTTTGACGTCATTTTGCATTATCTTTATAGCGCCATAATTTAAAATTTCAAAGGGTTTCTTAAATTTTGTCCAGACTTAGCGTCTGCAATTCCTGCCATAATTTCTGATATGACAGATCATGAACTAAGTTTACCCTTTTCTATACAATGGTACCTTATATATATAGACAGTTAAATATTAAATTATTTAATCTTCTCTGTCACAATTGTCTGGGTTTAGATTTGATTATATTCCATTAGCATTAGACAATCTGTCCAACCCCCTTCCTTATCACTTGGCTTGTATATACTATGCATTCCTCAGCTCTGGGAAAGTGGTTAGCTTACAGATAGAAATATAGTGTCTTTCTGTTAACTTGAAATAACAAAATGGAGTCTGGTCTGTTCAGAGTGACTCAGAATATACACTTTTAGTTTCTATCATAGCACAAAATGTCTGCCGATATAAATACCCTGACACTACCTAATACTGTGGTTCAAAGTCAATTTTTTTTTCTAGATTGTTAATTGTTTTGTGTGCTCTCCTGTTGATGCTTCTTACTTACTAAGTGGATTTGACTATGGAGCCTGTATAGTGTCCTCTGTTGGTAGAAACAGCTATATGCACTACCTGAATTACAAGACTTGTTAATTTGCATATTCAGGAAGATTTGCATATTGCTAATTCTGCAGGCAGGAGAGATATTTTATTAAAACAAGCACAATGTGACAAATCACAAGGTAAATTACACCCTTATGAAGTGTTTTTAAAAATACAAAGTAAATACTTATACATGCAGAGCCTATAGTAACAAGAAGAAATGCAATACATAGGAGAGATATTTTGTGTTATTTATTGTCTTCTCCACCCCTGTATAAATGTGTTATCATATTATCATAAGTTGCTGTATATGGTC